TCAGTTTTCAGTGAGAAAAATACAGGCTTTAGTTCAATGCAGATAAGAAGTTACCAAAGAAAACTGAGAGAAACTCAGAGAAAACTGCAGTGCTCATGGCTATGAGTTCTCACAGGCTGCAATGAGTCTGCAATGACCATTTAGAAATGAAGTTGGTGTAAGTAAATGACCAGAATGGCAAAGTTGCTGCTGGGTGGCAAGCACTGCTGAAAATCTGAAAACATCACTGATGCCATCTTAAAGACTTCTATCTTGCTCAATAGATAGGAACAGCGGTATTAACAAAACTCAATAAAGGAGAGGGGAAAAAAGCTTTAATTCAAATGTAAAATTCCTCAGATGTGTAAAGTGCTTTTTAATCCACTTATTCCAGATTGACATTATTGCTTGGAAGCAGTGTTTGTTACTTCTGGTTTCTAGACCTGAGCAGAGACAGAAATACTGTGAGTGTTGCAAATGATACACTGCTTTATCTCAGGCACTTTAGTCATTGAGATGCAATGTGTTTTAATACAATTCTGCCTAGCAACACATTCAGAACTTACTGTCCAGATGAGAGTCTGGAAACATAATAAGGAAGAAATCGTCATCTTTTAGCTATACCTATGTTTGGGAATGCTGGCATAAGTTGGTTTGCTTTGACTCATTTACTAAAAATAACATTTTTTCCCAGAGAAAAGTTTAGCTTCTGGGTTACTCAAAGGGATAAAAATGTGCTGGTAATACCAAGAGCAATTACAAGCAGAGTTCAACAAGAATTCATTAACATTGTGTACTTCTATACTAGAACATTATGCAGGACAGGTACTGTAACTAGAGTTCAGACACACATGTATCCATTTGATTTTTTCACAAAATGAAGAGATCATCAAAGCTCAAATAGTGTCAAGTCTCAGTAACAGCTATGTGAGCCATAAAATGAAGGAATTACTTTAGCATAAATAATTTATTGCATTAAAGATGTCTGCAAACACAGCACAGTTAGATTTTACACATGCTTGCAAGAGAAACCATGCACCTTAGCTGACCTTTTCCTTTTCCACTACTAATATGGTGAACCATTTCCGATATAAATTAGTTTATCTTTACAATAACTCGGCACAGTTCTTACTGGTGAATGCCATGTAATAATATATACAAAAAGGTCCAGTAAACAGCATTCAGGGAACTACAGAGCTAGTGTTCAGGAGCAAGACAGATTTTATGCCCTTTGTGCCTTGCCTTTCAGTTGTTCATCACCTACTTTCCACAACAAGCACTAGTGGAGAAAGGGGAGATGGCGTGGCTTAGACCAAAAACCGCACAGGCTCTCTCCTGGTCCACCTTTCACTGACCACTGTGGCCAGCTCACAACTAGTTCAAGTTTTGACTTCCTCGCCCTTTATGTGACATTGGGTCCAGATACTTTCTTGACCCCACTGCATCATGCTCCATAAAGAGGAACAGTGTACGGGTAACAAAACAATATGGACTTCTTATGATCAATAAAGACCAGACATGCTTTCTTGAACTATAATGATGTTAGGTTTTTGTAGCCTGTTTTGTTTCTAAACATCCTATTTTCCTCACATTTGTTCAGTCTCTGTTCCAGCCTTACCTACTCTCTCAATATCCTGTATTACTTGTCTCTATTTCCATGCAGTTTAATAATAACTTGTCCTTCACATTCTCCCCCCACAATTTATTTTCAGTATTACTACATATATTCTTGGAGTTTGTTTCTGTCTGTGTAAACAATGGCAAAGGAGAAAGGCTATACAGTGGAAAACACCACTTTTAAAATGAATGCTTCTTTGCTTATTTTAAGCTTCCATGGGATTACAGATGAATATGCATTCCAACATATTCAAATGACAAAGGATAAATGAACAGTCACCCTTGTTTCTGCTGCTCATTCCTCCCATTGGCATCTACTCTATATCCTATATGGCTAAAAGAACTGAGAAAGCCAGCATATTCTATTTACCCTTATACAAACTTCCCATCATTATTTTAATTTACATCATAAAATCCAAAAGTTTTCTAGCTGCTTTATGGAACAAAAAATAATGTAAATTCACTGTTTGAAAGCACACAATTGCATTTTAGCACCCTTGTAATCAAAACAATTAACAGTTGTGAAGGAATCATGAATGAGGGAAAACAGTTAAATAAAAAGGAACTCCTACTTTAAGCATCTTTTGGCAGTTCCCCTAAATGCAACCTTTACAATGGCTTGTGTCATACAACCTTTTCTGCTGTTTTCAGGTACATAAGCATGCAATGGTTTCAAAGGGACCATCTCTAAGAAGAAGTATTCACCTATGACAAAATCGGTGATAACAATAGGAATTAGTTCTTACTCAGAACTTTTTATCAACAGATCTCAGTGTTCTACAGGGGATGTCTTTGTAAGAATAAGGCATATGTATTACAGACTAATGTGATTTGATTATTTGCATTTTGTGGGATTTCACCATTTTCTTCAGAAGGATATTCAGTGCTTATTATGTCTTCTAATTATAAAGTCTTACTGTTTAATCAAAACTTTCTTTTAATCAGTTCTCATCTTGTCACTTTTGGCTAATGGGAACAGTTCTGTTCTGTTCTACACACTGCTACCAAGAAAGTTATAACATTTCTAAGCTGTGGAAAACACCTGTAGCGTCTTTAATTGCAGACCTACACAAATTATCACAACAGTTAATTACTGAATTCTCCACAACTCAATTGCACTTCCCATTGAGGAATCTCTGAGTGCCTTAAAAATGTTAGCATGTTTAATGTAAATAACCTGACATGCCATGGATTACTGTCAGCCTCATCCTGTGAAGGAAGATGGGTACCACATCTGCTGATAGTCGCCTTTCCTTACCACAAGACCTTCCTACTTATGTGTGTAGCATTATGGCTTACTAAACAGAGAATTTTAAAGAAATAACAAGTATATTTTATTTCTTGAAAATGTAAATCAAAGATAAGACACCAAATACATCCTGCTGGATTAAACAGATGTTGTATGTTGAAATATGTACATCCTTTGTACATTTATTTCCATGGCCTTAGATATGCCCATATAAGAGGTCAGTTGCAAAGAAAGGTGAAAAAAGGAGAGCCTAAACAGACCAAATTTTCTTTCCTATGCTCCTATAAAAGCCCTATGATTCCTTCTTTCCTTTCCTATATTTATTTTAGAACAGATAAGATTGAAAGGTGGCCCTATATCAAGTGCTCTGGGATTTTCTAAGTGACTCAGATAGCCATCTATCTTTCAGGCAGAATCAGGCCTTGAGGAGTATGATTTAGCAAATAGCATTAGACTGAAAATGAAGGAACTCTCTGAGAATATAGTCAGGTCTAAAATGACTAAATACATCCTCTCTTTTCTCTAAAAAAAACCCCAAAACAATCTACAGCATCCTTGAAGCAATAGCACATACTAAAAGGGAGCCAGTTAGGATTTCTATCATTTGTCATTCTATCAGTCTTTTTTCCATGTAGTTTTCTATAGTCAACATGAGCTAACTAGGCTGGCAGAGGGGAATATTTCAAGTTAAATGAGGGAATACTATAAAAGCATATAGAATGGTGCAAAGGGAGGGTTCAAACATATATGAAACATAGTGTCCATCTTTCTCCCCTTCTACAGCACAGTGCTGCCCGAGCTTTTTCTATTACCTCCTGGACTCCACTTCTTAGTGGTATTACTACCAGACCCTATGATGGGTGCTCAAGTGTTGTTTAACCAGTTTTCCTTTGTAAAAAGAGGATCTGACCCTAGGATAACTCAAAGCACTTAATTAAACTCCTGTCAGTTCTTCCAATTTCACATCCCCCATTCTTTCATCAAACACAACAATAGCACAAAATTATAGCCCCAAGAAATGCACTTAAGTCACAGTATTATACAATATACTGGACGAAAAAATGAGGCAAGGAAATGACCATTAAGCCTAAATTTCTGCTGTTTCATTTATGAAATATTAAATCTTCTCTTTTGTTAATTATAAGGAGATAGAGCTGGCAGTCATTGCTTATTTTCTGTAATACCTATTTTGTCCGTTTCCTTTAATTTCCTCAATTCAGGCTTCTAAATTTTGCCCAGAATTATACCTTACAAAAGCACACTAATGACATGCCTCATTAGCTGCTTTCTTTTGTTACTTCTGTCTTGGCAATGCCACTTAGAATTTAAAGTACAGTACACCAGCAATTGTGAAGGACTTTGAAACCCACTGTATGAAGAGCGCTCTAGAAAGCTGGCACTGAAACTGCAACCTTTACTTGTGACCATAACTGTTATGTTAACAGCGCTTGATCAGAAAATTACATAAGCTGTTCGTTTTTCCACTGAATTTAAGTATTTTTAGATTAGTTTAAAATACACACATGAAAACAACATGTGAATAAAACTCGGGAATACAGTTTTAGCTGTCTAAACCTTAGAATTGTAGTTTAGAATAACCAAAATTACCCATATTTCTAAGAAAAGAGCATCATTTCTGGTTTACAAAAAGTTGCAAAACATGGGTAGTTTTAACCCTTGTTTTATTCCAGTCTTTTCAATGCACTGTAATAAACTTGACATTAAAAGCTTTGTGAAGATATGCATTGATTTAAGTATGTTTCTCTTAATGTATATTAAATTGAACAAATAGATATGGAAATGTGTTCCCCCTTTCTAAATCATTAAGATACAAAAAATATTAATTGTTAGATTTGATGTTATTTTCTTCTTCATCTTGACAGGATTTTCATTACTGAGACAAGAGGCTTGGATTATTGGCTACATTATCACATTGTCTTTTTACAAAATATTCTGTCTTCAAACAGGATGCAATATACGTAAACCGAAAGAATAACCTTTCATTCATCTGTAATTATGTACTTGCAAAGATTTAAAGAGCAATGCTCAGTTAGAAATAACATCTAGTCTATCTTGAAATCTGACTGATGATTTCAAGAAGCTTAACTGTTGTAGAGATGTGTAAGTTATTTTAAGAATAAAAACAATCTCTTACTTGGTCCTCAAAGGAGATTGCCTGGGCAACATCTCTGGGAAATCCATCAATCACTATACCCTCTTCATCAGGGATCTGCATTAATCTCTGCTTTATCTCAGTTATGGTTGTTTCCTTTCACAGAGAAAAGAAGTTATTTATTTATATTGTAAAGGTTTTCTTGATGGTGCACATTAATACTGCATGCACAAATCCTTTGAAAGTAAGTATTAACACAGGATAAACTGTACCTGAGGTGCCAGTTCTCCAGTAGTAATTATTTTGGCAATTAGACTCCATTTTCTGTTGCTGCTTGTGCTGTGGATCTTCTTTCTTAACAATTCACCAACTGATATGTAGTTAAATCCATAACGTTCTGCTATTTTCAGACTCTGTGTTCCTTTACCACTTCCTGGGCCACCTATTGTTAATTATAAGCAAAACGTTACATTAACCTTTCATCTGAAGTACCCAATCACATGTGAAATCTTTGCTATCGGCACCAATTTTCTAACTATTATTAGGGCAAATCTTGCAGTTGCGTGACTTGTTACCAGCCATTAGAAACAGGTCTCATCTACCTGATCATAAAGGTAACAGCTTGTAAAATGAAGTAAAAAAAAGAATACAAATCCACTTGCGAATTCAAAATAAACACACTCTTTTAGGCTTGACCTCATTCTAAAGCTGTTCGTGGAAAGGATTTTTTCTTGATTTGTAGTAGAGGAACAGACAAATGAACTGGTCCTTTCTTGAGCTCTGTGAATCCAAAGATAGAGCCAGATAGTCTGAAGCATATTCATGTCAGAAAGAATCATACTTGGCTAAATAAGCCAATTAAATCAATGGACTAATCATGAAGTGGAACTAAAATCTGCTCCTAAATATGCCTGCATGAGTTTGTGAGGTTTTCTAATTTTAAAATACAGAAAAATATTAAATAATTAGCTGTGATGTTTCCATAGCAATTTGGTACAAGGCCTTTTATTGAACCACACATGCTTCTGGTATTGATGTTTGAAGTATCTGATAAAGAAGTAATTTGATAGGTTCAGCTTGCTGGACAACTTGAAGAATAAAGAGACCCTTCAATATAGCACAGGCAGAATAGGTATCAAAATCACAGAATGCAGCCACATTACATAGCAGGGAATGCTGAAGTGAAGGTCAGCTGGACAGCAGAAGCAAGAATGCATGTAAAAAAAATCAGACTATGTCTGAAATAAAAAGACACATTATGATGTGAAGAACAGAGAAACTGGAATTCAGTACGTAAAAATAGGGAATTGTTTTGATAAAAAAGCTGTTTATATATAGAAAAGTGTATGTTACTGAATAGCATAACAAAGCAAAACCAAAGCAAATTTTTTAATATTAATTCCCAACACTAAGTAGCTATATTTTGAGGAATTGTGTGCGAGGCCATTGAATTTTATTTCAACAGACAAAGAATTAAGATTTATTAAAAATATAAAATACGTTTTCTATGAACTTTAAAAAATACAGCACTGCAATGAAAGTAAATATGAATACAATAAGCTTCTTGCTAGTAATCATATAACTCTTTCTTATATTACCTGTATTATTCCCATAAATAGCTTTTAGGCATTTGTATAATTAATACAGATTCGGCTGCAGGATAAGCTTTACAATATTTCTTGATATATGGCTATGACACACTCTGGGTAACCAGGTTCAAACCTGTGCCCCAATATTAGATGTCAGAGAGCTTTCAGTGTCACCAGTAGTCACTAGGAACTCTTCTGTACCCCTGATGCTGTGATGGTAACTCTCCACTTGGCCTTTGTAACTCAGATCGGGTCCCACTTGAAGAGAATGCACAGGGAAACTTGCATATTGTTAAGGTGTTCCCATACCCTGCCCACAGTTTAGTTATACCCTTGGGAAAAAAAAAAGGGTTTATCATTATCCAAATAGTTTAAATAACGTTTAAATCAAGCCAGGTTAAGATACATGCAAATACAAGCATTTATCTATAACATCTAACTTGTCAATACAGCTACAGATGTTCATATAACACGCAAGAAAAGGAAAGAAAAACTGTATCTTATCTCTGTACAGTAATATTACAACTGAAAAATAGTTTTCCCTCATTTAAGTTCACTTGCTGTTTCTCTCCTAAAAGACACATGCTTTCTCTCTTCTTTCAGCAGATTTTGCTAGGTTTTACAGCTATTCTTCAATTTCAGTTCTTCTAGGTGATCTAGATGAGCTTAGTTTTTTCAGCTTGAACTCTTTCTTTCATAGACATCTTAGCCATCCTCTTCATTAGAATAAGGTCTGTTTCCCTTTTATAGATATGCAAGCATCTGATATACCAGGAATCATCTCCTCCACTAAAGTGGCTACAAAGCAATTCTGCTTTGGCGCTCCCTGCTCCCTTTGATGGCACGCTCAGCTTTCCCCATGACAAATGCATTTCACTAAACCTTACATTGGGTTTCATTCCTGTATCAAAAACATACCTGATACAAATGTTCAAACAAGATAATTCCATGTAGTTTACAGTTTATTACAGGCTCCTGGTAATCTGGAATGATAGTAGGTTTGGAGTAACTGATTCCCAGTGTCTTCTTTTCTTATGTAGATGAAAACAACAGCACAAAGAAGTGCAGCAAATTGTTCGATGATTGCTGCCGGTTTGTATGGAGCAGATTTTGCCAGGTGAATGAATTGGATTATTACTCGTTACTGGAATGTCTGTTCACTCTGTGTAAAGATTTCCATAAGCAACACTCTCTCTATGTAAAGCCATACACTGCAGTGTAATGAGCATAACACATAAATAATGTATCTTATATATGTATGTATTTATATGTATGTGTAGCATTACTATGAATTTATGTGGCTTTATTTACTAGCAATAATCCTAGCTACTGGAAAAAGGCAGTGGTAGGTTGTGACTGTGCTTTGCGGAGCAAAGGGTTTATAAAACATACTGGAGCCAATGCTGTGCTTAATTCCTGCAGATACAAAACTTCCAAGGAAAGAAATTCAGTTTATTTCTTGGAGACTCAAGACAAGTTTGAAACAGACTATGTTGCACCCCAGAAACAATAAAGATGCAAAACATACATAGGTAACTTAGAAAATTAGAAACACAGAATTTGACAACAAGGAAAATAGTATCCACATTCCAGCAGAGATACAAAAGATGCCAGAAAAACAGAACTGTTACTTGAAAAAACATCAGTCTCCGCAAATCCATAAAATAGCTGAACAAAACTTTTTGAAACCAAGTAGATAGACTTTAGACTCCTGCCAGGGAGAGCTTTGCTTTGCCATTAAAGAGAAGCAGAAAAAAAAAACACCACCAAAAAGTGTAGTTTGACACTTCTTTCAATTTGAATTGCAAGCAGAAAAAAACTAATGAAGTATTTGCTTTAATGTTCATAAACGTCTCATACATTTTGTTTTTCTCGATCCAAAAATATCCCTTTATAGCAAGCTGGGATTATCCATTTACAATCTAAGGGGAAACATTCAGGTAATAAAATAAGAGAAAAGTGACAGGACAAAATTACTTCCCACAGCAAATCATTATAATTTATTGAACTGTGTATTCATTCCTGACTCTTTGATAAATCATACTGGCAAAATGTTCACAAGAAAGGAAAATCAAATCACTTTTCCATTTTTTTCACTTATTCTGAGATTATACATTATTCAAGAAAAGAGTGATTCTTTTACATATTTCTTAGAAGATGTCTAGACTAGGGAACATTTGTTGCATCTAAAATTATGTTTGCTAACTGGTTTCAAGTGAAGATTTGTATGCCCAAAAAGTTTTATTAAAGCAGTTGTTTTAATGTAGTTTTGTCAATGGAAGTTCAAAATTTCAATTTTGCTTATATTGCTGTAAATTCAAAATAAATTCATGTAATAATAAGATTTCTGAAACAACTTATGATTTCAAAACCTAACTGTGAACTGGATTTAACAAATCAACGGGCCAGCTGCCGGCTGACAGCACTGCCTTTGATCTACCCATTAAACTTTGATTATAAAAGAAAAACATGTTCTTTTAATATTAACTAATATTTTTAATCAAGTGCAGTTTAAAACATACTGAACTGAACTGAACTACTGAACTATGGGGCTAATGACACCAGGTAATTCATTTTTTAGGATCTTTGTATTCAGGCTGTATCAACAGTAAAAGTGTGTTTGTCAAAATATGTTAGGAAGCATATTTTTAAACACAATCTAGTTTCCTAGTGTTATAATGCCTTAGAAACTTAATTTTCCAGTGATTCAGATGGGTGCCATCCTGGCTGGTTCCATCTGATTTTTCTAAAATCCAATCACATACTCACTTTGCAGCTTTTAGCTTTACATTTAATCAGCAGACTTTTCTGCAAACACAGAAAAAGAACAAAACCCTCACCTTTATAAGTGGATTCTCTTTTGCCTTGGAACTATCTCGTTCATTGTAAGGGTGACAGATTTCACAAAGCAAAGAAGTTGTAAAAACCTTTATGGAAGCATTAAAAAGGTCTTGGGCTAATGCATTATTAAAGAAAAGTTCGCCTAATACGTGAAGCAGAAGACAGGTCTTTAACTTCTGTTCATTTCAGTCCCCAGCAATGAATGGGACCACTACCATCTGAGCTAGGCAGTATGGTTAGCTAGCACTAGTTAGACATAAATACCTTGCTTAAGGGAAGTTGTCACTGGCATTTTACGCAAACTGAAAAACATGCAACACATTTTTTGTGTACAATATTTGTCCTTTGAAATTAATAGTACACTTTTTTTCATTTTCTCTCTTTCATTCAGTATCTTAGTTATTCTTTTATTCTTTCCAGTGTGTGTTTTCATGTGCTTTCTCAATAGAAAGTTGAATTTGGGAGAAATTTTCTTGATACTGTACAAAATTGGACAATAGCTGCTAAGCTACATATAGTATTGTGTTTCTATCACATCACGCTGTAACAGACAGATTCAGAGAAACTCACTTGGAAAACGAACCCGAAATAGCCTTTGCGGAATGTTTACAATGTTCCCTACATAAATGGGGCAAAAGAAAAGCTCTGTAAAATCCATGGTCTGTTCACTATATGCAGGCATTCAAGGATTTCACTTCAAATACCCCTGCACTCAGTTCCAGAGGTAAAAGCCGATCCCTCTTTATCTCACGTAGATCAAACCTTCATTCATCACTCTGCTGCAATAGAGCTACATGGATTTCAATGCATTAAGAGCCTTCTGTGGTCACTGAAAAGGAGCCAGTTTTTCTCCTTTATGAAATGGAAGGTTAGCTAATTAATTAAGATGAAAGGCATATATTATTTCTCCATCTAACGCAAGCTTTATAGTTCAAAGGTGCCTGGAGAGATTTGCATGTTGAGATTTGTAATTCTGAAACAAAAGATTAAGAAAATTCAAATGCCTACGCAATTCTTTTGGCATACCACAAAAATTTAGAAAAATGCCTGGTTTTCTGTTTTTAATATATTCCAATACCACATTTCCGAGAACTGCTAGTTGCAGAGCCTAGAGGACATGCTGTTCTTAGAGATTCCACTCTATAATACAGACAAGATGTTTCTATTCTCTTTTACCATACTACATACTATTCTCTGTTATGGAAGCAATATCTCTCTTTAATATGAATAAGGCTTTATAGACTTAAAATGTGATTCTCCATCACCTGGCTCCTGTGCTGTACCTATTTAAAAAGTCCAGAGAATCAGAGAATTAGGCCTGGTGGTAAAATTTCAAAAGACACTATCCCAGATGACAAGGAACCCAATTCAAAGAACTTAAATTCAGAAACAGAATAAAACATTGATTTAGGCTTCAACTGTAGCTATTTCTTAATAAACAGTATGCTTGTCTGAGACTGGAAAGTTGCTTAGAAAGGACACTAAACAGCACACAGGAGAGAACTTGGGGAGAGAGCACAATTAACTAATGCTAACTAATTGCTCACTCTCCCTGAAGTTGGTACAGGATTCATTTGCTAAATAGATCTAGGGATTAATTTACCAATGCAATGGACTAGTGACTATGTACGTTCACTCCAGCTGGACATACTGATCAGTTTTCAAGGTTCTAAATATAGAGGACAACAGTTCCCTATCACCTTTTTGAGCTGGCTTACCAAATATTTTTAAATATCCTTTTTTGTGAGCAGCTTTGAGTAAATCTACGATAGCCTTTTAGTTCAGATTCAGAGCACACTTTGGAAGAGCACTTTGGTTCACATGGTGGAGCTGTCTTGAAATGCATGAGCCAGGTTTGGTTTAGATTAAATCAAACTGGCAGATGTGCTCTATAAGCAAACCATGAGCTCTCCAGCTGCTAACAGGCAACCAGTCTGCAGAACATGACCATAGGTGCTCACTGTAACCCCTAAAATGCTTACAGTTGGGATGCTATATCCTCAGGACTAACAATTTCACTTTCTGATACACTCTAATTGGGCTGCACCACTTGCTACGGCAGATGGAAAAAATGTATTTAAATACCTATAGCCATTCAACGTATTTGCAGTACAAATAAAAAGGCAAAGTAACAAAGATAAAACCTTGTCAAAATTACTCTGCCTTCATACCTATGACAAGGATAATTTTTGGTCGAGGTCTTGCAGGATCAAATACATCGTACTCCTCAATTAGCTCAGCAGTTTCAGAGAGGTCGGTGTCACTTTCTATCGAAAACTGTTGGATTGGAGGGAGTCGGTCATACCGTCGGTATGGGAAGTTAGAATTATCAGGCATCACTGTAAAATAGTAAGATAAACTGGGAATTGTGGAAATACACAGAAAACTCAAAATCTATTGTGCACACTGGTTTAAATAAGTATAATAAACAAAGTATAAATATCTCCTAATTTTACAATGTCCTTTCTGTTACTATATTAAATATTCCTTGCCTCTATTTAGCTGATCTATTAAATTGGAACCACTAGGAGTCAGTTTTCTTTGGTGTTTCTTTACAAGCACGTCAGCTTTTCTGTGAAAATCTGCCCATAGCATCCAGAGTTTGGCAGTGGCCTTTGAGAAGAAAAGAGCTGCATTGTGCAGATAACCTGCACTATTAAGTAGAACTCTTTTGGTGATACGTGGTGTACACAGACATAGAGATAGTATTCTTGCTAATTAGTTTAATGAAATGCTGGATGGCAAGGAAGAATAACTATAGCAACTGAAAGATGAGCTAATTACTCTCTGATAACATTACAAATAAAATAATTACAAGTATTGGTATGACATGCGCTTAGATTTTATGAGATGCACCTTTTTCTAAGAGTTTATAATTTACATTGTACTTAGTAAATTATCACATAAACTAGAAAAACAACCTAGTGTAACTGCATTGAAATTAGTATGTACATCATCCATAAGGATCAACTAAAAATATAAGCCAAGTGTACTGCATCAGCTTTGCCCCTATCTTGGCAAATGTTTTAGGTAGGATATGAGAAATCTCTCCACCAATGTGTTAAAAATTTACACAGTAAATCATTAGGATGATCACAATTTCCTCTCCTGCACAGCATCCACTACGGGAGGAAAAAAACAAATGCCAAAACGCAAGGAAACAGAATCCTTGGGTCCTTTGCCTAAGGAAAATCAGAATGAGGCATGATCTGCTATAGAAGGAAGTATAAAATAATTCAGTAGTGGATGTAAAACCACCCACAGTACAAGAAATACAACCATTTTATCTTTAATACATTACCATTCCTGAAAAAAGACCTCCTGGATTGTCCTCCATTGAGTGGAGGCAGGGTCTTCTTTTCTGGGCTGACAAAAGTGTCCCATTTCACTTTTTCTGACCCTCCAAGCTCTTTCACTTTCTGCAAACAGTTTTCCAAATATTCAATTGGGTCATCAGGTTTGTAACACATTAATCCATTCAACAGACTCTGCAACGTAAGATCAGAAATACATGCTATAATGATAGATGCCAGGAAAAAACAAGCACTTTTACTTTGAATTTTACTTTACACAGAAAAACCTCAAATTCCTTGTATATTCAGACTTTCCATTTCAAGCCAATGTGTGAGAGTGAGGCCTGCAAAAATCGTATGATTTCAGTTTGCCAATGTCACAAAAATGATTCAGAAAAGGAAGCTCATGGCTATGTCTTTATATTTGTCTGTTTGCACTGTAATAAGAACTGAAAATAGTAAAAGAGTTCCCTACATTTTTCTTAGAACTATCGCTGGCAAATACATACAGAGCAGTGCACAAGCTAGACAGCCCCCAAAATTACATATTCTGTGTAGCCTATTAGATCACTAAAATGTATCTTTTCCTTAAAGACCAGGGCACCCACAAGTATCTTACCCGTATTTTTGAGTCAACATTTACACAAATAATGAAAAAAAAAAATTTAAAATTCACAAGAAATACTCAGGTATCAACTTGATCAGTATTGGAAAAAAACCCCATACCCAAACTTCATAGGGGCTTCCAGATTTAATTGGCCAGAAATTCCCAGCCATTAGAAAACTCCTGTCTACAATATTCATTCTACACCCATCGTACCTATGTGCATTATGGGCAGCATGGAAGAAGGAATGCCAGGCCCTCCTCTGGCGCACAGTAATTGATTTTCCTTGACAAAGTGATACCTAAGTCATCACCTCACCTCTTCACAAGACAACTGCATCCAACCTTCTCTTAACAACAAATATCTTTCAGGATGATTTCTGTTCCTTTGTGCTTTTCCTAATTTTTGTGCAAATAAACTTGAGGGCCACAGTTGGTATTAATAATAAACATAAATATCTCCAATTCAGGATTTGCTCAGTTTTTTGTTAACTACTGTTTATATGGTAATTATTTACACACATTTGAATTTATTAAATAGGATATCATTTCTATGCATCTATGCCCTTATTACACTGCTTAAGCGATCACAGCAACTAGACATATATTTTTGCAGAAGATATGCACCAATCTTTAAAAATTACTAGCTCAAGCTTTGAGCCTTTACAGAAAAACAGTTTCGTCTGCATCTCTTGGTAAACCATTCACATTCTAAATGTGTTAGTAAAATATTAGCACGGTCTATGTCCTGTAATTTTCAAATACATTAAAAAATGTCTAGCTTCAGAACAGGCCAGGAAAAATACGTATGTGTCTGTCTGTGTGTTTTATATAGATGGCAGGAAGTCTGATTCGGAAAAAAAAATAATAATCCACATTACACAGAGAAGTAATTATCAACCATTAGCAGCAGGCAACTTGTAGGAAGCTAAACAAAAGCTCACTGAACAGTTGTGGGTTTTTTCTTCTCCCATACCGATGAAAATCTGGAGAAAACCTGAAAGATAACCCCCGCCTGAATTCCTCGGCAGAGCGGTCCCCGGGGTCCGTTGCCCTGCGGACACGCAAGTTCGCTCCCTCCCCAGGCGGCTGAAGGAGGGCAGACCTGGCTGAAGGTGGGCAAAGGCGGCCGCCCGCAGCGCCGCGGAGGGGT